AAGGTCCCAGCAGAAATCAATTGTACTTCTATACTGGCAAGTGACTGGTGGAAACTGAAATTTAAAATACAATACCTGATTTACATGACACACAAAAGAGAGATACTCTCTTTTGACACAGAACTCTAATCTTAGAACATTAAAACTTTAAAAAAAAACTTTTGAAAGCTGTTACATGGGGCCCTCCCTGGCGGCACAATGGGTTAAAGCTCAGCACCATGAAGCTAGACACAGATGCTTCAGCACAAGTTTGATCCCGGCCAGGGAGCTGACCCATATGGCGCGGCAGACCTCTCCTGACCTGCCCGCTGCTCCCCTCAGCACTCTGTTCTGCTCCCCACTCTGTCTCTGGTGAATCCTCTCACTGCCCCTGCACCTCTGGCCTGTACCCCAGTTCTGTAAAATATCTAAGAAGATTTAAATAAATACAGAGCTCCTCGGCATTCAAGGATTGGAACAACATAATCGATTTGCCAACTGCCCCCAAACTGATATGCATTTTTAATGCAGTTTCTATCAAATTTTCTACCAGATGTTTTATGGATCAAGACAAGGTTAAACTAAAATTTATATGAAGAGAAAACAGGGCTAGAATTGCTAAAACTATAAGACAAAAAGAATAAGGTGGGAGGAATCACTCTAGCACATTTCAGGCTTATTATAAAGCTGCAGTAATTAAGACAAGGTGGCACCAGCCGACGACAGACACGTGCATCAGTGGAGCAGAGCAAAGAATTCAAAAAACAGCCTCACACAAATTGGGCAAGTGCTTTTTATCTGGGGCCACAGCAATTCGATGGAGAAAGAATAGTCTTTTCCACAAATGGTGCAGGAGCAATTGAACATCCATCAGTAGAGTGGTAGACCCTACCCTTATGTAAAATTTAGCTCAGATCCCATCATAAACTTAAAACACAAAACTAACACATTTAGAAGAGAATACATGAGCACATCTTCAGAAGCTAGGACTTGGTGAAAATTTCTTAGTTAGGATGCACCAAAGCATGATCCATCAAAGGAAGCAAACCAGTAAGGTAGAGCTCATTGAAATTTAAAAGGGTTGCTGTATGAGAGCGCCTTTTAGCTGGAGGAAAGGAGAAGGTGGCCGCTAGGGGCAAGTTTTCATAAACACATTATCTGACAAAGGCCTCAAGGATAAATAACTCTAAAAACTTGGCTTAATAAATAAGTTCATTTAGAAATGAGTAAAAGAAGAGATCTTTTACAAACAAATCCAGATGGCATATTTAAAAAGCACAAAAGATGTTCAACATCACTAGCTGCTAGGGAAATGCGAACTAAGCTCATAATGAGATGGTCGCACACGCCCATCAGTATTTCAGATGAAAAGCAGTGATAACACCAAACGCTGGCAAGGAGTGAAAAAAACTCGAGCACTGGAGTTGCTGCAGGAAAGTAAATGATCCAGCCACTCTGGAAAGAGTTTGACAACTTATTTTTAAAATTTTTAGACATGCTTTTTTGTAGATGACTGGATTAGAAAGATGTGGTACACATATACAATGGAATATTACTCAGCAACCAAAAAAGAGAAACATGTCTTTTGCAGCAACTTGGATGGAGCTGGAAAAGATCATGCTTAGTGAGATAAGCCAGAAAGAGAAAGAAAATTACCAGATGGTGTCGCTCATAGCAGGAATATAATGGACAAGGCAAGAAAATAATAGGAATAATGAACAGCTATATACACCAGAGACATTTTGTGGGGGTGGAGTGGGGAATGGGATCAAAAACGGGGGTGGGATGGGAGGGAAATGCACGGGATTATGGTGATGGCACACGGGTGACTTGGTGATGGAAAACCCGCGGGGATTACAATTGAGATGGAAAAAAAATGTACAAAATGATGTAAAAATAAACTGTTATATTATTAAAAAAGAAAACTTTTAAAAAGAAAAAAAATCTTAGACATACTTTTTCGTACGACAGAGCAATTGCACTCATGGGCATTTATCCCAGGATAACTAAGATGTATGTCCATTCGCAACCATCCACGATAGCTTTATTTGTACTAGCCAACAACTGAGAAAATAGTTTCTCAACCAGTTGCGGTATATCCCTGTTGTGGAATACTACTCAGCCATAATAAAGGAACGCGGTATTGATAACCTGCACCAACCTGGCTGGATCTCAAGAACATTAGGGTGGGTGAAAAGGCCACATACTACGATTCCACTTGCATAACATTCTGAAGCTATAAAATATTAGCTTGAAAGGGGACTTGTGGTTGCCAGGAGTTATGGACGATGAGTGCAGGAGAGTGGAATTATAATAAAGAGGTGGCCCTGTCTTTCTTATGTGGTGACAGGATAGTCCTGTGCCTGGACTGGGCTGCTGGTTACATGAATCCACACGTGTGATGAGATGACACAGGATTGAGACACACAAGTCTACATAAAAAACCTTTTTGACATGACTCTGCATCACACACTACATAATGACATTTTTGTCAATGACAGGCCACACATGTGACAGCAGTCCCTATGTGTTGGCTCAGTGGGCAGTGGGCTGGCTCCTCTGAGGCTGTGGAAGTGCACGCCATGATATTTGCATGAAAAAAAAATCACCTGATGACATTTTTCTCAGAACCTGTCCCTAGCCTTTTAGTGAAACATAACTCTAGTGGTGGAAAATATAACACCTGGAAAGGTAGGGGTCGGGGGGAGCTACTTCTGTACCCTTCTCTTTGCAACTCCCTGTGTACCTGTGGCTATTCAAAACCTAAAATGTTAAAAATGAGCTATAAGAATATTCATCTGCGGGCCCTCCCTGGTGGCGCAGCGGGTTAAAGCCCAGCACTACAAAGCTTAAGCCACTTCCACAGGAGTGCGATTCCCACCTGCCCCGGAGGAGATCCACATGGCGTGGCAGACCTCTCCTGACCCGCCCGCTGCTCCCTTCAGCAATGTACTGCGTCGATCTGCCTGTTCTGCTCCCCACTCTGTCCCTGGTAAATCCTCTCACCTTCCCCATCTCTGGCCTGTACCCCAGTTCTGTATGAATAAATAAATAAATAAAAGAATATTCATCTGCCATACTTTTATCAACATTTAAGTCAAGTGCTTTTTGTCCTAATAACTGGAACAAGGAAGGGCTAAGTCACTGGGCTGAGAGTGAAGGACCTGCCATAGAACCTTCTAGACTGTGTGCTTGGTGGTTCACAGCATGGCTCTCGGGTCACTTGGGAGGAACGCCCAGGGTGTCGCCTGTTTTTCTCAGGGATGTTGGTTTTCTCCTAAGATCCTCATTAGTGACTGTGAGTGTCACTTCCATCAGCCTCCTGAAGTCCTCCAACCTGAGTGAAATGGTCGCACTTTGCAGCGGACTGTCACAGGCTGGGGGCCCTGACCAGATGCTGGCATGGGCTGGAAGCAGTGAATGGAGACAACTCTGCAGGAGAGTACATTTCCTGCCTGACTATGTCTCTGCTGCTATTTCTTACGCACCATCCCCCAAGCCACAGAGGGCAGGAAGCAAGCATCACGCTCAGGCTGGGGACGAGAGCCAGTGGCTACTCCGCTCTCCGCTCACCTGTCCACGCAGCTGCCTTCCAGTCAGATAAATGTCTATTTATCTGAAGCTGTGAAATAGGAGGCTTAGAAATCCCCAGCTTGGGGCCCTCCCTGATGGTACAAAGGGTTAAAAGCGCAGCACTGCAAAGCTGTCAGCAGCTCATTCAACTGGAGTTCCATCCCCCCAAGGGAGCTGACCCACATGGCACAGCAGACCTCTCCTGTCTCACCCTCTGCTCCCCTCACCCTCAGCAGTGTATTTCATCATCTGCCTGTTCTGCTCCCTACTCTGTCTCTGTGAATCCTCTCAGCCCCCTGCACCTCTGGCCTGGATCCCAGTTCTTGTATGCATAAATAAATAAAATGTAAGAAAGAGAAAAAGAAAAGAAATCCCCAGCTTGAACTGGGCCTTCTGTCTTGCTTGGCCCAGCCACTTGCCATCAGTGGTGAAAGGGCAGCAGAGGCTCTCCTACCCCAACACCCTTCTAATAAAAGACAAAATGAAAAGCCCCAGGAGACAGTTACAGAGTCCAGGAATGCAGAGGAAGGAGGAGACTCAAGCCTATGTAAGCGGCCAGACCAAGAATGAGGGAGAATCGGAACATTCTGGGCCCACGAGACCCAAGTACCTACACTGGCACCTTCTGGACTCCGAGGCAGGTTCTGCTGGACTTCATCACTGGAGAGGGAAAGACCCATATAGTTTTCCAGTTCTGCCAAGTTTGGGTACAGAACTAATGGAAGGGAGGAAGGAAGAAGGAAGGTGTTACTTGTTGGGAGGGACCAAGTGTGGAGATTTACTGAGGGACTGGATAAGGGCAGTAATAAACTGGGCCTTGCATCCAATTAAGGGGCCTTGTGTTCGGGATGGGACTAGATGAAGGTGATAACAATCTGGGCCTTACAGAGCCATGAGTCACCCTTTTGGAATTTGAGTTTAGAATCTACATAAGAGACCCTTCCCCCCATAGGGCTGCGGACCCCACTCTAGGGGCTCAGCTCAGCTGCTGTCCAGGAGCAATAAACTGTTTGCTCAACCTTTCTGCCTCCGGCCTTCCTTTCTTGCCGCGGGTCACAGAAGTTGGGACAAACATTACTCAGGCCTGTGCTTAGCCACCCCGGCCTGGCTCCCGCACGGAGGCTCAGTTTTGTTAAGAGAGCCTGTGAGTGTTGTACATTTATTCCCAAGTACTGGAGGATATATCTATGCCCAGCAATACAGGACTCGGGGCGGGGGGAGTTCCTTACACCCTCCTCAGAGGTGTAAGGAACAGGACCCCAAAGAGGAGCCTCGGGAGGTGCCGAGTCCCTGGAGCCCCACCACTTTGGCAGCTGGCCAGATGACCAACCCAAGGGCAGAGCGGGCTGCGGGCCTCTGAGGCCCCTGCTCTGAGTCCATCTAAGGCCACAGAGGCAGCTCTGGGAAACAGCATGGTGGGCCGGGGGAGGAAAGGCTGGGCCCAAGGTCAAGGCCCTGAAGCAAGGCTGCCGGGACCACCTCCAGGAGTTTCCACGCTCTGCTCTCCTTGTGCCACCTCATCGGGTGGCCCCAACTCAGAGCAGGGGTGGCCTTCCCTAAGCGGCGACCCTTTGAAAGGTTTCAGAGGGATGTAATGAGTAGGACACTCCCTACCCGTGCAGGGGAGAGGCAGCCCGTGAACACGGCCAGACCCTCGAGGATGAGTCCGAAGGAGCAGGACTGTCCTGCCCTGAACCTGGAGCCTCATGGACAAAGCCTCTGGATCTCTTCTGGGCACTGTGGGAGCTGTGGGGCCACTATGTTGCCTTGATGGCTTCTCACAGCAGGTGGGGTCCCCGCCGCTCCCAGACAAGACCCTACCTGGCCCACTCACCTGTCCCCTGGGCTGGCAAGGCGGGTGTCTCCTGGGCTGGCAGGGCAGGCATCCTGGGCATGGCTCTGGCCTGGGCCTGGGGAGAGGGGGTGTTGGCTAGCTGTGGACCCCAGAAGCCTAGGGCTCCCCGAGGTCAGGGAATTAGGCATGCAGGTAAACCATGAGCAGGCAAGGTCTGGACATGAGGCCACTGCAGATGTCTGTTTCTGAAAGAGGTTCTTCAGGGGTTCATAACCCACCACATTATGAACTTTTTTATAACTTGAAGCAGCCAGAATGTAGAGACTCACACCTTGAACCCCAACCCCAAGTTTGCAGTTGGAAAGCTCCAACTTTCAAAATCCACTGGGAATTCAGGTGGCTGGAAGGAGGAAGAGGTTCCGGGGGCTGAGCAGGCTAAACCCCGTGCCCACTGGGTGTCCTCTGCATCATGGGGTCTACGGGTACCCCGAGAGAGAAAGCCCTGGGGCAGAGTGGGTAAGAGAGAAACCTGCCTTTTCCACACCTGCTGTGACCTCTGGACACTGGTCTGCCCAGCAGTGAGCCCCCAACACCCAGTGCCCCCCCAAGCAAGCTTCCTTAATGGCCCTGGGGTGATCCTGGAGGCTCACATGGCCTGGCAACCTACCTGGATGGCGTGGTCCACTTTCAGATCCTCCAGGGAGGGGTACAGAACAGACATGGCTGCTCCTTGGAGCACCCTGCAGGGCACAGAGAGGGGTGACGGGTAAAAGGAGGTGTGGAGGTCCATCCCCTGCCCACAAATGCCACTCCGCACTCTCTGGAGGAGAAGGAGACAGGAAAGTATCATTCTCCCCGTTCAGGGTGGGACTGGGGTTTGTACCAAGAACATTTACTAAACTACCTCTATCTGTCCCAGAGGGAGGACCAGTAGGACTTTGGAGGCAGACACCTGAAGAAATGAGTTTGTTTCTGTCCTAGAAAAATGAGACAGGAGCAGCTTGATTTCTGGATTTCGTCCCATTTACCTACAAGCCCACCAGTCCTGTCCCATCTCCAGGCCATCCCGGGGTGCCCCACCTCATCCTCTGATGAGGGCTGTCCTTCTGGGGCAGACTCTGTGGCAGACGCTGGACCAGCCTCCAGCTCTTGCTTCATCCACTGTCCTCAGTCCACCTTCCCAGTTGACCTTGGGGCCCATAGGTGGCTACTCCCCACTGTAAGCCCCGCCCCAGTATGCAACAAAGGGGAGGCTGGAGTCCTGAACACAGAGCAACGAGCTCAGAGATGTAGCAGCTCCGCCCAGGCCCTCTGGGCATTTCCCCTGAGCTATCACAGCAGGGAGGATCTTCATCAACCCCTGCCCCTTCCCTTTCCTCAGGGCCTCCAGTCCACCTTGACCTTTCTCTTCACCAAACCTCATCTTCCAACAAACCTCAGCTCTCACCTCCCACCCCGAGGCTGCGTGCTTCGGAGTATGCCTCCACCCCTGCATCTACCCTCCTGCCTCCCAGCCAGCGCCTAGCTGGTTTACATCTCTGCTTGCCCCCCCAGGCCGGGCTGGTCCACATCCTGGTCTAGCCTGGCCTTTGGAGCAGAAACCACCACGGGGGTCGCCCTCCGGGTGGAGGCTCTGTTCTCCTTAGGCCCTCTTGGGCAGGCGACCGCTGGCCCGTGACCCTCTCCCTGGGTACACACTCCAGGGTTTGTTTTTTTTTTGGACAATCCTTAGTAGGTATCTGCCAAAAATATTGCCCCACGATCCGCATGAACAGCAGATGTGAACGTAAGAGGCCACCTCTGCCCTGCTTTTTTTAACGCTGGAGCTGCAGTGTGCTCGTGTGTTTAGCAGCTGCCGCTGGGAGAGCAGAAGCAGAAATCAGCTTCCAGGAAATCCATCACAGGCCAGGACCACACAGCCCTTTCTCTCCCTGGGACCGCTGCCATTTTCTCTGGCCTCCACTCAGTTTTGGGCTCAAGGCAGGTATTGCCTGGCCTTTCAGCAGCTCGCGGTACAGCAGGGAATATGGCTCCCCATCGGCAAAAACATTGTCTTGTTCGAGCACCCATCCCTCGCGCTCGTGTGAGTCTCCCGGGTGCTGGGAGCCTGGTCTGTTTCAGCCTGCTGGCCTCTGCTTGGCACACCTCCTTCTCTGTGAGGTGCTCCTTCAAGGCTCAGCTCAAATGCTCTTTGTGGGGTTGGCTTTTCCAGGGTCTGGGATGCCCCTGCTGGTTGGTTGGGTCTTGTGTGTTTCTAACCCTGACTTGTTTGCCTTGTTGTCCAGCCTTGCTGCCTTGTTTACTATGGCTGATACCTGGGTTCCTTCGCATTCTGGGCTCCACTCCATCACACTATGCCTCCTCCACAGAACCGGACTCCCTAGCTGAGTGCCATGGAGCGTGTCGTGGTGGTCACAAGCTGCTTTCCGAAACAGGGCCGGGCACAGTGCTGCCATGATTGTTATTTAACTGGGTAAGTCAGTGTCCAAGGAACAGATTTAAACATTTTTGTGGGCCTTTTGGGGTAAAACAAGCCTGAGGGGACACGGCTAGCATTTGGGAAGGAGGAAGCAGAAAGCAGAAATCTGCCCCTCTTCTAATGCACGGAACAGCTCACCACAAGCTGTCTTCTGTCCTGCCTCACTGTACAGCCCAGGAAACCTTCACCCCCGCAGAAAGTCTATTTATTGCCAGGAGATTTAGAACCTGCAGGTAGGCCGGACACCTCCTATCTAAATACACATAGTGAGATTTCTCGGGTTTTAATAAACATTATGTTTTACAATACATGGGATGTATTGTCCAGAAACGCATATAGCAGGTTGACACTCAGGTTGAACAACTTTATCATGTTCACCACTTTGGAAATGCACCTCAGCCGTCCACCAGAGGTGAGTCACCAGCACACGCCCGTGTGCCCCGCTGTGGCAGTCAGAGCCAAGACGCCAAACGTCGGCTGCCAGTGATCTTCATAGATAGTCATTGTAATGTACAAAAGAACATCAACTAACAACTATAAACCAGAGACTTTCTAGGGGGCGGAGGGGGAACAGGATCAAAACGGGGGTGGGAAGAGCACACGGGACTGTGGCGATGGCCACGGGTGAAGTGGTGGTGGGAAGTACACGGGGATTACAACTGAGATGAAAAAATGTGCAAAATGAAGAATAATGTTTAAAAAAAAAAAGTCCACACGAGCGGGTACAGTCCACCTGCTTTTACATAGGAACGCCTCTTCTCTTACTGTGAATTAATTGCATCTCCCTCATTCCACCTTTAGACTAGAGAGCTGCACGGTCCCCTCCTCGACCCCCAGGGAGATTTTCCACCTCATGACATAGGAGTAGCCAGACACAGACTCCACTGGGGCAGCGGAGAAAGCTCCAGCGGCCCCTGGGGCTTGCTCACCCCGGCCTCAGTTTCCCAACCTGTCACACACCGGCGGGGGAACGGCTCCCACGCCCACGCCCTGGCCACGCCCAGCCCCGCGCCAGCGGCCCGTCCCGGTTGCTAGGGGCCACGGCGCGTGCGCAGAGAGACCGCGCCGGTCCCGGCGGCGTCCGGAGCGCATGCGCCGCACTTTCCCTGCCTGCGCGCGGCGAGGGCGGCTCCCAGGTGCCGGTTCCTGAGAGGTGGCAAAGGCCGCCTCTCCGCCAGGGATGTGGCCGGAGGGGCGACTAGGGTCCACGCGGGTTGTCGCTCTCGGGCGCCCGGGTCTGGCACCCGCTTCCAGAGGAAGCCCGGAGCGAAGCAGCCCCCGAAGGGCTGGGGAGGCTCGCTCGGGCTCTGCGCCCCTCCGGACGGCTGCGCTGGGCGACCGAGCCTAACGGGGGCTGGGCGTCCCGTCGCCTCTCCCGCCCCGATCCCCGAGGATCCAGGACAGCCCGCAGAGCGGGGAGGGTGGGGCCGCCCTTGCTGACCGATTAGATTGTGTACTTTGGCCCTGGGGGGAGGGAGGAGGCAAAGTCCCAGGTCTGCCTCCCCGCAGCGCGTTGCTGGTCTGCACGGGCGGCGCCGGGTTCCCACGATTTCAGAAGCGCCTCCAAGTCCCGGCCCGTGGTGACGTCGCTTGTCCCCCTCCTACTCTCTAGGTGTCGGCCAGGCCCTGACTCCTGACCCCTTTGCTGAACGGAAGTGCCCCGCCCCACCCCAGCACTCCACCTTAGCGATGGGAGCCCCTGCCGGGCTGGGTGGAGGCTAGGCTGGGGGTACTTAGACTTAGCTGGGCAGATCACTCCAGTACCGGTGGGGTGGTGAGACAGTGGGGTGCAGAGAAAGGAAGGAGAGCCTGCCTGGACCCAGAAGGAAGCGTTTTCTGGAAGCTCAGTGCGTTTCTCTTCATGGATACAGAGCCCAGGCCTAAGGATCCTTCTGCCTGCCAGATCTCTGCTACTGTCTGCAGGTTATTTCCTGTGAACTCAGTCCAGCTCTGCTGCCCCTCCATAGTGGCCCCAGGCAATCCACATGGTCTGAGCCAGAGAGGAGTACAGACAGCATCTGTTCTTTACCCCTCTTGAAGCCATACTCAGCTCTTGTCCTCAGGATAGTCTGACACTTCAGGGAGGCTCAAAGCTCCCTCTTGGTAGCAACTTCAATCTGCCTCGCTCAGGCGTTCATCCAGACTAATGGCTGGCCCTAAACTCACCCTGCTAGTTCTCCCCTCCCTGCACTTGCAGGCACTGTTCCCTCTGAATTAACAGCCTTGCACAACTTCCTCCCCAACCACAACCCTGTTCATCTGGAGAATTCCTCTCCCTTCAATTCTAAGCTTACCCCGGAATCATCCAGCAATCCTCTGTCCCCGCTCCCCACACACGGTTAGGTAACCATCCCTTCTGCAGATCACAGTCTCACTCGCCTATGAAACACCTACGGGGTGAGCAAGACCTGCATTTGCTAGGCTGGATTTCCACTGTGCTGTATGTTTGCCTGTCTCCCTCTCTGGTCAGGGAATGTAGAGCTAACTTCTGAATCCCCAGGGCCGAGTCCAATGCCTGGCACACAGAAGCATCCAGTTACTTTTTCTTAAGAGGGGAAAGCTGACAGGGAAGAGAAAAGTCTTCTAGAGAACAACTGTGGGCCCAGGAAGGCAGAGAAAATATGGCTCTAACGAGGCTGAATGAATGGCTGCTTCCTACAGTCTGACAGTCGATGAGTTACTTTGCTAGTCCACGCTCGTGGCTTCCCACAGCTGGCACTTCTGCAAGGAAAAGAACCCAAAGGAATTTTCCTCTCCTGCTGCACGCCTCAGAATTCCATTCCTGAGCTGCCGTCCTTCCTGACATTATAACAACGCCCACAGCAAACCAGCACCCGGGGCTTGAGAGATCAGCAGGGCTGAAAGGAGTCTTCAGTCCCCACCTTTGGACTTGAAATGAGCAACACTGTTCCCAAGAGCAGGATAGACTGGCCTCCCACTCCTTCCCCAGGGACAACTCACCCTCCAGAGGACAGTGAGGAGGGAAGCATGGGCAGTGTCATAGGGGCAGCTCCTGCGAGGCTGAACCAGCCCAGGGAGGTGGCCGGATGGGGCAAAAAGGACATGGCGGTTGCCAGGCAACCAGTAAACCCGCCCCCCCCCCCCAGGTCCCCAGCACTGCACTGCCTGCTTCAGAGAAGCTGTAGACTTCCTAGGGAAATACCAGTGCCCAGGAGAGGCAGGGCAGGTGCCAAGGACCTTAGAGACAGCTGGGCTCAGGTTGACAGCCTCTGACTTTCGAGCAAATGTGGACCAGTCCCTCCTGGTGTCATTTTTTCCTCTGTCACATGGGCAACAATACACCCCAGTTATCATGGCGATTAAAAGACATTTTTGAAGACATGGAAAGCGTGCTGCAGTCTGGCTCCTGACTGTTAGCTATTGTTCACTCTGCATTTAACGAGTGCGAAGTCCCAGCACTTAGGCAGTAAGCACCAGTAATTAGGCGTTGAGCAAAAGAAAATTTGTCCTTGAGGACTGTTAATTTCTAGCTGGATAAGTAAGTGTGCTCGCTGTGTTGGGGGTGGGGGGGATGAGATGGAAGCTACAGGAAAGTTTTGAGTAGTAAAGTGACATTGTCCACTTTAAACAGGTCCCCCGGGGTGAGGTTTAGAGAACAGACTAGAGGGGCAAGGGCAGGTGGAGGAAGCCCAGGGAAGTGATGGTGGTGGCAGGATCCATGAGCTCATCCAGCCCTGCCGCAGAACAGAACAGCTTGCGGCAGAGAAGTACGTGACAGAAACAGGTCTGTACTGTCTCGGGGAAACGGGCTCTGTCTGGCCACAGCCTCTGTTTCCTGCGGGGCCTAGACTTCCAAGGGCCCACTTTAGGGAGCAAAGTACGGGTCCCCTTCTCTTGAGTACCTTCACAGGCAGGCAGGAGGACCCCAGGGCCCTGCTTAAAGGTGATCACTGAGCCCTGAACCCTGGTCCAGGGCCAAGGTCAGAAGGAAAAAGCCCAGTCCACATCTGGCTCTAAGTAAAGCACCTTGAAGGACACTGCCTTGGCCTCTCAGGAGGGCAGGGGAAGGAGGGAAGGCGACAGGTGGGCACTGCCAGGCTGGTGCCGGTCCCAGCGGGCGGCTCTTACCTGTGGGCCAGGTGTTGCTGCGCCTGCTGCTGGCCCTCCACCCACCGCTGAGAGTGGCTCTTCCCCCCGGAGGTGCTGGCCTTTGTCACAGCTGGTTCCTGCTGGCAGGCTCTGGGAATGATGGGCCCGCCCTCCAGTCAGCTGACTCACTGGGATGGGCCCAGGTGAGGCCCTGTGACTGGTAAACAAAGCAGGTCACTAGCTCCAAGAGGATTTGGGCCTCAGCCTAGGTGTGGAGGTGGGGTTGGGGGACACAGCTATCGAGAGGGGTGTCAGGGAGTCTTGGCTCTCTGGAAACCAGGAGGTGGCGCCGGGGACAGCCAGGCCCTGAAATATGGCCGTTCCTCACGCCCTCACTCCTCTTGTGGGAGTTTGTTACAGGAAAATAAACGAGGAGGCTGTGAGGTCCCAAGGCCCACTACATGTTGCCTAGATTCGGGATCTAGAACCCCCCAGTGCCCACCAGCAGGGTCTGGCTTAAACAAGCGTCTGGGGCATCTCATGCCCTATTAAAGTGGCGTCCGAACAGGCCATGCAGAAGAGCTGAGACCGGGAACACGGAAGGCGCAGGAGTCGCGCTGCTCTTCCTTCCGGGCTTGTGTTTCGGCGTCATTCTTGAGAAGTGCAAACCAGGAGGACAGTTGTGGAAAATCTGGGTGGTGGGGCTGGTGGGCGGCCAGCGGGGGGCTGGCGGGATCCATTTTATGTGTGTCCCAAGGTGGTGGGGTTTTGTTTTGAAATTTCCCTTACAATTCTTGTAAGGAGTGGGGAGGTGGGCAACTTAAGTTTAACAATTTTGGTGTGTTTAAGGTTTTATTTATTTACCTTTGTGTAGAAAGCTGGATTGCAGGCCGGGGGGGCGGGTGGTGAGAGGATTCACCAGAGACAGAGCAGGGAGCAGAAAAGGCAGACTGACCAAGTACACTGCTGAGGGGAGCAGCAGGCGGGTCAGGAGAGGTCTGTGCCATGTGGTCACCTTGGGGGCAGGCGGGGATCGAACTCATGCGGAAGTGGCTTTAGCTTCTCAGTGCTGTGCTTTAACCTGCTGTGCCACCAGGGAGGGCCAGAGGCCCCCCAACTTTAATAACTTGAGAAGGAATTTAGGCTGGTTGTCTCCGGCAGGCATGAAGGGCTGGCTGCGGGTGTGGGGATTTTTTATAGCACAACTTTTAGTGCCTTTTAAATTTGGGAAAATGTGATTGCCTGTCATAGACTATGAAAGTACAAAGGGAGAGGAATTTGGTTGAGGTCCTGGTGAGCCTGGCTGGGCAGGGGTGCTGAGGAGGGCTGGGCCCCTGTGGGGGAACCCCGGGCAGTGACGCAGGGCTCCACGCAGGGCGGGGCAGCACCACGCTGCCCACTCCCTGGCAGGCCCACACAGTGGGCATGGGAGGCGCCTGCACAGCCCTGCCATCACGAGGGTGCTGTGGGGGGTAAGGGGCGCTGCCAGGCTCGGGGGCACCCCCAGCCAGGAGTCCCACATTGGTGCAGGAGGCAGCGGCCACTGAGCCAGCTTGCCCACAGGGACCATGCCAGGGGCTCCCAGACGCCATCTCCACGGCCTGTGGGACAAAGACCTCCCAAGTGTCACAGTCACAGCCGCAACGTGGTCACGGTTTCTCTTCTGTGAGCCAGAGCCGCTGGCAGCTGAGGCGTGGGCACAGACCAGGGCTGAGCGGGCCTAAGCGTGAGGACAAAGCAGGTGATGAGGCTCCGAGGCCGCGTCTTCAGGGCCCGAGAGCGGTAGGAAGCACAGACCGTGGCTGACCCCGTGACAGCCACGCACACTGAGGGGAGGAGGGGCCAGCGCCTCACCAGGGGCTGCTCTCCAACGGAGGGCCTGCTCCTCCTCCCCCCTGCCCCCCAGGTCGGTCCTGTACTCCTGCTTTCCCTGGCTGGGGCTGGCCCACAGCAGACGGCACGGTGGGCCCCCCCCACCCCCCCAGCTGCTCGCCCAAGAAGCCCTCAGCCCCCCGTGGGTAAGCCAGGGTGGTTTGCTCCATTTTACAGGTGGGAACCGGGGCCCCTCCTCAAGGCTGTACCTGGCTGATGACCTCATGAGAGGACACAAAGTGGTGTCCAGAGACGAAAGGCCTTCACGTACGTCTCGGCTTCATCTTGGTTTGGCTCATCGTAGATTTAGCGCATCAGGGTAGGCTGGGTCAGGGCGCAACAGAAAACAACCCCCGTGCCTAGCAGCTCCCAAGCACCAAGCATCCCTGGAGGGCAGCCTCTCCATGTCCCCCCACTGCAGGACCCAGGGTGGGGGAGCAGCTGCCAGTTCAAAGGCGGCTCACAGCCAGGGAGTTTCACCTGTGACCCATGTTCTACCTCAGGTGACAAATGGCGCAAGGGCCAGGGTTGATCACAATCACCAACGGGCAGGAAGTGCCATCCCACCTGCCTGGGGGGCAGACAGGAGCAACATAAGGAGGAAGACATGCAAGGGGAGCTCAGGATGCTGTTTAGGGTGTCTTCCAGGAGGCTGTGAACATCTGTGGGGTGCAGGGACCAGCTGTGAACTGCTTATACAAAGTGGGGCTGCATGAGCCCACTGGACCCAACTGGGAGTAAGAAGACACCTGTCACTTGGAGTCCGGGGCCCTGACGGTCCTACTCAGCCGGGCACCTCAGTGACTACTGAAAACCGCTAAGGGATTCAGAGAAGGGCGGATGAATTAGACGATTAAAGTGTCTGCCTTGCACTTCCACGGTCTTCTAGGGGAAACCCTTTTCCTTACCAGCCTTTTGATGACCTGTTTGGGCAAATATGAGAGCAGATGTTTGGCAAAGAAGGATTGAAGGGGGTTCTTGAAGACCATGTGTGATTACATTACGGAAGCATAATATATTCCTAACATGGCTTTGGGACGGTTTGGGGGGATTTGGTGGAGATTATGGGGGCATCCACATCCCCATCGGCCCACACTGAAAACAGGAACAGATTAATTGTCCTCTATAACCAGGAGTAGATTTGGGGTTCTCATGGCAGTCCAGAAGATGGGGGAGCAGCGTGGGGAAGACGGCATGATGGCCAGAGGCTGAGAAAGTCTGAGGATGAAGGCAGTGGAAGGAACCCGAGGAAACCAGTGCGGCTGTGGGCTGCCCACTTCCTTCTCCCTCCTCAGAGGTTATGTTTACTCCATTAATAGGTTCATCCCTGCCCTGGGTTACCATGTCCAGTCAAAGCCAACCTGTGGCCACAGGCCTCTGCTACCTGGGTGGGGTGGGGAGAAAGCATCTCAAAGCCCCTGGTCCTGCTCCGTGCAGAGACCCGCTGCTCAGACATAGGTTTACTCTTCAGAAACCTCAAAGAGCCAGCCTGTCTGGGGACGGGTGCCTCTTTGGGGCGGAGAAATGGGGAGTGGCAGAGACCAGGGAGGACCATCTCCAAGCCCGGAGCACCTCATGGGGGCACACCACTTTGCAAATAAGACTGTGGCCTTGGAGGGGTCAAACTTTCCATAGTGACCCAGCCAGGCAGAGGCAACACCAGGGTGAGGATTCCACCTGCTTTCCCACAGCCAGTCAGAGGCAAACAGCACAGAGAAGGGGACGCCCTGGCCCAAGGTCACACAGCAATTGAGTGAGTGGCAGGGGCAGGATTCAAAGACTCCAAATCCTGGTCTCCTGGCTGCCAACCTGGGAATGCTGATCAGCCCCTTCTGCCTTGTGTAGGGGAGAGGCTGAAGGGGGTGGGGAGAGGCAGCATGATCTGAGAAATCCACTCAGGCCCAGATAATAGGGCTGCGGGGTTCCTCTCGCACCCTGCTGGGAGCAGCATCCTGAAAGTTGGCCCGAGGAGACAGCAGCTAGGACAGCCATAGTGGCTGTTTTCCCAAGGACATGGAGGCCATTAGGACTGAGGCCCCTGGACTTGCAGGCCAGTGCTCGCCACCCCCTGGAGTGCACTTGCAGACCCCGGTGGAGCACCCTTAAAGGAGTGTGGGGGAGGGCGTCCAGCCTGAACTGGGGCCCTCCTGCAGGATTCCGGCTCCAGGGCAGGGCAGAGCAGGAAGGCCGTAACAATAGGCAGCAGCAGCCAGGTTCCGGACACAGGGGCGGGCTCTTGCTGGACGCCAAGATGGTGGGTGGGAAGGAGGTCCCCGTGAAGGAAACTAACCAGCTCAACAGCTAGCTCTAAGCTTTTCCTGTATGCTGAAACCTGGGTTTAATGCTTTAGGTAGGTGATCTTACAGAATCAATCCTCATCCTGCTCCAACTTTCAGTCCCACTTTACAGATAAAGAAATGGAGGCAGAGAGAGTGAGGAGGTGAAGGTAAAATCTGTTAGGAAGATGTGTCCAAGCGCCCTGTCCCCCCTGCACACCTCTTTCTCAGAGTACAGAGGCCTGGGTTTCCACCCTCGCCTGTCTCATTAAGTGTTTAAGTTGATAACAATGGTGCCTCCAAGGGGTGGGTTGATGGGTGCCTGACTCCTCCCTCATTCTCCATCTGAAGCCCTTCTGTCACCCGCAGGCTCATCATCTGAAGAAAACTGTGATGATGACAAGGAAGTTTGCAGGCAGCTTCCCTCCCCCGACTGCGGTGTCCACCCTCCTCCGGGACAGTTTCTCCAGACAGCCTGACTGCCTGGTGGTTAGGGGCCGGGTTCAGGCTCTGAACACAAGGGCCAGTCGGGTGGAGATGGGGCCAGCCGTGCAGAGGCCAGCCTGCAGGGTGTGGGTCCGGCCGGCTAGCAGTGTTGTGCAGGGGCTGCATGTGGCATTTTATGTAAAATTACGGTCTGGTGGGGATAAGCAGATCCAAAAGCCAACAGAATAGCTTCTCGAAAGCAAGTGTGAAGTGGGTTTTCAGCTGCTTACAGCCAGAGCAATCGTGACTGTTTTGTTGATTCTGATACCGTCAATTGTAGGATGACCTTTCTAAAGGGAAGTATGTCTGCGTGCCAGCTTTTGGCCAAAGAGGAACCCTGTTTAAAAGGAGTGCCCTTTTAAAAACTGGCATTGGTGTTTAAAATTGCACATCATGACCTCCTTTTTGGATCTGATCAAAGAACTTCTCATTTAGAATCTAAACTTTCTTGAGGTGAATTTGGCAGCTTTTACTTCTAATTGTGTTGCCTGGGTGGTGACAGCCGTCTGTGTATTTGATAACCATTTATTCTGTGTGGCATCATTTAGAGATCACTTCTATGGGATCCAATGTAGTAAAACTCTATCAGGCTTGATCTCAAGCACCCAAAGACTGAAAGTCCGCAGTGATGACTCCTTCCTCACCCTCTGCCTGTGACTGGCACGTTCTTGATTGACATCCATCACAGGATACATCCTCATTCCAGAAATGTTAAGATGTGTGTGTGGGGGTGGGTGGGGAGCGTCGAGTATCAGAACTAGCTGTTACACATTACTACTTCCTGTAGGACAGGCAATCAGCTAAACAGGACAGAGGAATTTCAGCAAATAACATCACTACTCCATTGCTCAACTGTCACGTCTATAATGAGATTAGTAACTCCACACAATTGTGAAAATGAATGAGAAAAATCAAATAAAACTCTTCTAACAGTGTTGGCACAGAAAAACCATCCCATGGGTGCTCTCTATTTTTAGGTTTAGTTCTCACAACTACCCTTTGAGGTTGAGATGATGACCTTGCTTTATAGTTTAGGACACTGAAGTCAGTGCAAGGTAAGATGCTTTCAGAGCAGAGAGAAAGACCGAGTTCTACACCACAGTCTTTCACTCAGGTCTCCATCGCAGTCAAGAACTTATATAACAACTCCTCAAAAGGAATGTTTACCTCCTTTAGGGCCCAGGCTGGACAGTTAACTGGAAGCAGTTAATGTCCTTGAGGCCTCCCTGGTGGGTCATCCCCTGAGACCCAAGTTGCCTAGTCAGTCACCTTCTTTTTTCCACCATCAGTCTTCTGATAACCGCTTTATGTAGTTTGTCTGGCAGTTTCAGTTGCAGTAAGCGGGAGGAATAGGGTGGAATTTCCTTACTCCATCTTGCTGGGACATGGAGGCCTTATACATATTTTTGAATCAACTTTCTGAGAAATACAGGCAATAGAATATATTCCTTCATGGAAATACACTTATTTCCATGAGTTCCGACAAATGTGCACACCCATGTAACCAGTCAAAATGCAAAACATACATTTCCACCACCCAAAAAGCTTCCCTTTGCTTCTTCCCAGTCAATACTCCCCTACTGACTCTCCCTGCACCTCCCGCCCCCACCATCCCTGTGCCAATCACAGGCCTCTGACAAGTCCTGACCTGATTTCTATCACTAAAGACTGAACTTGTCTTTCCTAGAGGTTCAGATCAAGGGAAATCAGAGAATGTACGCTTTAGTAAAAGTCCGTCTTATTTTACTCAGGGTCAGGTTTTAATATAGGATATGACCTTGCTCCGTATCACTGGGTCTATCAGTCCATTCCTTTCTGTTGCTAGGCAGGATCCCATTATTGTGTGTGTTTTCACTGTCTGCTGTTGCCGACAGAGCCCAAGAGCCAACTGAGCACAGTTATTCCTGCCACCACCACTGTTGCGGCTTCTGTTCTCAGAAGTGTGATGCAGCAATGAGTACTTATTTGAAGATGTTGGTAGGATAAGAATTGAGAGTAAAAGCTTGGTTTCTTCTAATCATGCTCGAATTGATCTGTATCACGATGTACTCAGACCAAAGAACATGATGATCAGTCATCCTCTAGCCAACAGTAATTTTAAGGGTTTGTAGTCTTGGTCTTATATTGCTACAGGAGATACTCCTATAAGCATGGAAATGTTCATCCTTTTGTGTATGAAAAAACACTTGCTGTAGTTCTGCTTAACAATCAGTGGCCTTCTGTGCTATACTCCTACATGACGGCTTGTGATGAATCAGCTACCTCACTACAGTCCTAGCCACATCCTCAGACCTCTGAAGTCAGCCTCCTGTCATCCATGCACTCATACCCCTGGTAGAAGTTGTTCATTACTTTAAGCCACTGATAACACTTGTGATGGCAATCCTTGGGCCAGAGGGGGTGGGGATGATCTGACTTTCTACTTCTTTCTCGGCTACTTATATTTAGACAAGATTTCTCTGACCGCTCCTTTCACAAAATTCTACGTTGAGAGACGTTGAGAGCAACAAATGAAATACTAAATAGTTTTATACAGGGAAGCAAAGTCAGTTTCTTTCTACCAATGCAAGGGTGGATGTATTTTTTCACAAAAAGATGACAATATTTTTCATTTGGTAAAGTCTTTAGCAGGTGGTTGACAGGTTTCTAGCTATATTAGTTTCTGCACTACCTTCTCAGATACAAGTTCCTTTAAAAATGTAGCTAGTCAGAATTTCTTTACATAGTACATACTGCAACAGATGGAATGAAGTAGATGTGAAACTTAATAGCTGTTGTCTATTAAGTCACACATTTGCAAAAAATGTAGAACAATGCCACTCTTCTATTTGTGAGTATATTTATAGAAAATAAAGCTATCAAAAAATAAGGTAAACTTCCAAACTGAGGCACACAGGTCTACATTAAAATGGTCGACCTTCTACCCCAGCACAGTAGATGAAAAACAGATATAGAATGTATAAGAAAAAAGGAGACTCGACAAGGTCCTATTATGAAAATTCATCATACCATTGATAAACCTGATCCTGGAAAAATTTGAGAAGAATAAAAATAACCACGTCAAGGAACAGGAATCAAAATGGCACCAACCTTTGAACAACACTGGAAACTACAAGACAATGCAGGAACACATTCATCTGTAGGGAAAATAATTACCAACCTTGAATAAAATTTTTAGCTAAACTATTAATTGTGAGAATAGAAGACATTTTTAGGGACTGTGTAGTAGTGTTATAATAATGAAGGTCCCCAATGAATCAGCCCCCCTGTAGTCAGACCACTTGCGATGTGTTCTTTGCTGTTTTTCCCATTGAGAGAAGGGATGTTTCTTCATTCCCTCATCTGAGCTGGCCCTGTAACTTGTTCTGCAAACTTAATTCTGGCCAATGAATGTGAGGGTGGGTGATGGGAGGTTTGTCTTTAAAGGGCCTGAGAGGTGATAGCCGGTTTTCTGAGTGTGATGTGCTTTGGCGTGTGGGGATGAAGACTTACTACAGGTCGGGAGGCCAGCAGTCCAAAGTGGGTGTCACGGTCTAAAAGTGTTGGCAGGCCTGGTTCTTTCTGCTTCCATAGGCCACCCTTGTGAATCTTTCCCCCATCTTCAATCTAGCAGCACGACATCAGATGTCTATCCCCACATCTCTGACCCTTCAAGGACTTTATGATCACAGTGGAACCAACTACATGATTCAAAACTACACCTGCTCCCTGCCCCCCAGCCCAAAGCCTCATACTCTAAATGTAAAGTCACGTTGCCTCTGCCATGGCTCTGCCTGTTATCAGCCTTCAGTCCCACATTCAGAGGATTTCTGCTCAACTCTTCGTGAGTACTGAGCTTCCTCATGTCTGAAAAATAGCATGGCGCTGTGTGCTAAGAGCACAATGGCACAGTGCGGGACCACACGTAAATGAAGCCTAGAAATGTTGACACTGTGGCAGACAAACTGAACTATAGGCAGTGGGAGTGAGATGGGGACTGACTGGGAAAGAGCGCAAAGGAGCTTTGAGATGGGACGAGATTCTATTATGCTGATGGGGCTTTAGGGCACAAAGTGCAAATACTGGCTTTACGTTGTATTTAAGGGGAGTAATGCCCGCCCTTTCTTCTGAAATATGACAGGAAGGCCCACTAGAAGTAACACGATAAAATGATGTAACAACATATTCAGCACTGAAGTCTGAGTGTTCACTATAAAAATCTTTCATTTGTTGTCTAGTACTTTTTATTAAAGAATTCAGAGGAAGTAAGTTATGATCCTGAAATACTAACCCAGTGACCTAATTAAGTGGGCAAATAAAAAAGTAGTAAACAGATGGAATTGAAAAATCACTAGCCAACAAGTCCTGGACAACTTCTACTAAAGCCAATGACTCACCCAAGGTGATTCTGAAAGGGGCCGTTGTGGCTGAGCGGGCGTCTGATGGTTTCTGGACGAGGGAGCCTCACCTGCACACACAGGTGGGAGCCGGGGAGCGCTGCAACCACCCAGCACGGCCACATGCTCAAGAACCTTTCCATATACCCAGAAACGCGGATTTAAAACACGGTCTTCCCTCTGTGATTCTTCATTACGGCGCCGGTAGCACCACACCAACTGGGTGGTGCCTCATTGCTTATCTCCCACTTCCTGGTAACTCCAGAGAAAGCAGCAGCATTCCCCAGGCCACACGCAGCAAACACGTGATGCCATTCGACAACCCCAGCTTGACCTCTGGGGAGTTATCTACATGGGTGCAGATGCGCACAACCTACGGCTCCCCCACCGATGAACGTGGAACAGGAGGCTCAGCGGTCTCGGACACTGGACCCCCAACCCATCACCCAAGCACAGGGGAGGCACCTGAAAGTAACTACCATCACACAGAACTGAGAAAAGTCAGCATAAAGCACTTTTATTGCAATAATAAAACTTGAAACTCATATGTAGTGCAGGGGCTGGGGGGCAGCAATAATTTCTCTCACCAAATCACTACACAGGACAGCAAAGGGGTGAGAGCAGGGAAGGATATGCCAAGAAATTCTAAGATTAGCTAGGGGAACTGAGCATCAAAAACAGAAGATGCTGAAGCTGCGATGACCAGCATCATTTTCTTAAGAGAACACTCAAGGATTTGTCATGATGACTGGGCTTTCACTGGGTGTTAAGTGTCTACAAACAGCACCTTCAATTTAAACTTTCAATTAAAGTTCTTAAAATTTAGGAAGAAGTTTGGATAGGTAGGAGATTACAAAAGTCCTGAATATCCATTAGAAAAACCACAGGATGGGGGCGGGGCAGGTGGGAAGGCCAGGCCACAAAGAAGGCTCCAGAGGTCCCAGCTGGCCTGGGGACAGATACCTGTAGTGTCCATCGCAGTGAAAACAATCTGCTTTCAAAAGGCAGAGGGTTTAAAGGGGGAGAGGGGCAGTGGAAGCAAAGGCTCTCTCCCCCCTCCCCACTTCAGCTTTGAATAGGGCCTTTAATTCAACCCAAGGACCTCTCTCTACTTGGGAGAATAATTCGGCCCTCAGTGCGCCTCAAATCTGCTATGGCTGTGCAGCGCAGCAGCAAGAATGTTTAATATATAATAGATAAAAATTTCATCCAAAAAAAAATAAAATAAAGATTCTTGTAACCCCCCCCCAACACACACACTGATTCCTATTCTAAAGTTAACCCATTACTTGTGCTGTTAATACTTAATTGGAAATCTATATCCAAAAAACTTAAAACTGAATCTTCACCCCAAAATGAAAACAAAATAAAATGAATAACTTGAGGTTTATGGCATATAGTTTAGGTCAACACACATACGAGGAGAAAGGGGAGGAGCGAAGCTGGGTGACAGACACATTCAGTCGGGGTAGATGTTTACACAAAGAGTGTAGTGGAACATCAGGAAAAGCTCCGGGTGGACTCGCCTGCACGCATCTGGAGGCGCCAGGTCTCTCCATGGCACATCTGCTGGGAACAGAGGATTGGTGAGTTCCAGCCACTCAGTGCTGCGCGCGTGGCGGAGCCAGCCAGCGGCTGTCTGCCACCCCAAGGCCCTCCTCTCTCCCTCTCAATGCGAGGGCTCCCTGAGCCCAAGCCACTGCTGCTCCAGCTGGGGAGGCTGCAGCTTGGTTGGATTCCTACTTACACTGATCCTTCCAACCTGCCTAAGCCTGTATGACTCAGGTATGTAGAGCTCACACCACTGAAAAAGGAAACAACTAATAATAAAAAAGCCTCTCTACCTAATTAAGCCCACAACAAACAAGATTATTACACCATTCATCTGGCTGCCATTTGTCGTGGCTTTCAAACAAAAAGCATTCTCAGTGAGCCTTCACTGGGACTTTCTGATTCTAGGGGCAGGCGAGAAGCAAATACAGAGATCTGGGGCCAAGTGTAAAGATGACGACATTCACATGTTTTATGATCCTAACTAGCATGTGAGAAGTTATGTACCACTAGAATAACAAAAATAAAGTCATGTACCACAAAAAACTCTCATTTCCTAGAAATGAGAAGGGAAAAAGCCCAGGAAGTGGAAGCAGTGAGCAAATTCGTTTAATGCTGCTTCAACTTGACCCGGAATAAGGCCGTCTCCTCAGCTGCTGCATGCAAGGTAGACTCAGCCCCACCGTCCTAACCAGGACTGTCTGAGAACATCATTTACACTTCATAGGCACCAGCTGGCTCCACCTCCAGTGCACTGTTGGAGTCACCTTCAATGTAATGGTCACAAAATTGGTCTGCTGCCCTCCAGTGTCCTGGGCTTGCCCCGAGGCAGGTGGCTCCCTGAGGCAGGTGCCCCAAGGTTCTCATACCACCTGACAGCAGCAGCCACAAATGAACAGGCCAGCAAAGCCATCGCCAGTCCTACATCTAAAGAATTGAAATGTAAAAAACTGCCCGTATTTCCACGGCCCCTAACTCAGTTTATGTTACATATAAAAAGCTTTATTTTAACATCCACCATCAGCCTTCCCCTGTCCAGGAATCCCTTTGGGAGTATATACCGTCCTTTTCACTGGGTGGCCAACTTCTACATTCAAGGTACACAGTCATGCACACATAACAGTGTTTCATCAGCAACACAATGCATGTGTTGGCAGTGTTCCTGTGGCAGCCTCACTGCACAGGCGGCTATACTATACAGGTTTGTGTGATTATATTCCGTGATGTTCACAGAATGACAAAACTGCCTAACAATACACTTCTCAGAACATACCCTCACTATTAAGTGACATGACTGTGCCCCCAGTAACTGAAACCAAAAGGATGCCCAACACAGGAAGTAGTGGGGGGGCAGGGGCGGATGGTATTTCTTGTTCTCTCTACTACCCATCAATCACTGGGTACCACAGAGGAGGAGCAAAGGCAGCTAGAGGCCTCGAGTATTGAATTTCCTTACCCAAGAACTGGGAGCTAACAAGGAGGCCATTCCTGTCATTCCAGTTTTAGAAGTTCCACGTCAAAGACGAGAGTGGCGTTTGGTGGGATAATGCCTGGGTGTCCAGTGGCACCGTAGGCGTAGTCTGGGGAGATAGTCAGTTTGGCTCTCTGGCCCACACTCATCTGTAAAAAGAACAAAAAGAATCAATTGGACACATTCCCCAGCCGCCTCCACAAGAAAGAAGCAGAGCTGTTTACCTGGGGGTCCCTTGCCCAGGTTGATGGGCGAGTCTGCAGCTCTCTGGGCATCAAGAACCCCCACGGACAGCAGCAGGTGGAGGGGTGGCAGCAAGCTGGATGAGCTCTGTATCTGGTTCCAGGGTGCCCAGTGGTGCTTAAACCGCCCTGCCTTCTGGAGTGGTCAAGGCCCTCCTGCTTTCTGCTCAGGTCTGAACGACTGGCTGCGGGCAATAGTATATCGCCAACTAGCCTTCACTGGCCTGTCTCTTACAGCATATGTGAAATGGCACCTATGCTCTTGAAAAAGGAGTACTCCATAGGGAAAACTGCTTTAAAGAAAACACACAAAGAAAGTAATACTGGGTGTAGTCTACTTCTCTATACTTTCTGTATTTATACTCTCAGAAAAAAAAACTTTAAAAAGAGGAAAAAGAAAACACATACAAAATTTCTATCTGTATGTATAAACAAAAAACACCCTTGAAGAACATAAATTCCAGTGTTTTTCCTATGAGAAGAGAATACAGGGGAAAATATTCACTTTCAAAACAGTTGTATTTTTAAAAATTTGTAATCAAACACACACATAAATTTAAATAGATATTTTCCCAATAGTGAACAGGCTCTCCATGTGTATGCTTCTGGTTCTCTCTGCCAACTTAAGAGATGGTGGGTAAAGAAGCCATAGGCTGCCCTAAAGCTCCTAATACAACTCAGAAACCTTGTTTTCAACAGCTCCCTTAACAAAGTGGGACATGCTGGACCAAGGTGGTAAGACAATTCCAAGCATGAGCTTAATCTAATAAAATTAATAATAATTATATCCTTTTACCCAGCAGTTCCCCTTCCAGCACCTTTTGTTAAAACTCTAGTGTCCATTACAAGAGGAAGGGTCACGCAGGCACACCTGGACCATGGGTTAGCCACTGGAAATGGTCCAGTGACATCGAATGGTTCCTTAATGGTATTAACACGGAAAATTGTCCAAGACACATTACAAACTGGGGGAGAAGGGGGCCTTGCTAAATAATATGGTATTGCATGCCTGTAAGTACACAAGACAAAGCAATTGCAAAAAGAAAGAAAAAGCGACAAAAGACAACCTCTCAATCCCTTCCTTACTGTGATTCAGCTCGCTTATTAAAGAAAGCCTGTGAGTCAGCCTCCGATTTCTTACCTAGACCTCTTCCCAATAACAGGGCTTTGAGACTGACCCCAAAGCTCCTAAGGTCCGGGGCGTGGACACTGTGTCACACCTTGTGAAACAGGCAGATCACACTATCTTGGTGGCAGCTATGGCTCCTGGGTCTCACAACACAATTATTGTCCCAGCACTGGAACAGTCACAGAGATGAACAATGGCTGGCACTGGAGAGGGCTGCAGACCCAAGAGCAGGCCAGAGTGCGGGTGAGAGGAGGGATGGGGATATGGGGCCAACAGGACGGGACAAAAAGGTACAGCTGGTAATGTTTCCACAGGAGAAAACTGCGAAGACACTCTCCCCTCGTACTGCCAGTCCCGCCCTGCAGGACAGAATCTATCTGAAACTTAAGCTGTTTATTTGGATAAATCAGTGATATTTTATAGATGAACTGGAGCAATGTGTGTATTCTGGAAACAAGAAAGAAGTCTTTCTCTCCACTTTAGTTGAATCTCTAATTCTCTCTAGAAAGAGAGAAACAGATTAATTACCCTTCAGGCAGGGCCTAAAATAAAGTCTAAAATAAACATCCCTTTATATGATTAAAGCCAAGGGGAAAAAAATCACTGGGCTTGATGGAAGGAGAGACTCTTTTAACTGGCCTTTGGCAACCTGGGGCACCCTATTGTATACTGGGAATTCCATGGTGTTGGCAGAACAAAAGCTGTTTACACAGTGGGGGGAGAGGTGAGGAGACAGACTCAAGACAAACAGAATGATTTTCTCCATGAGTATGACCTCTCAGAAGTGGTGTGACTCAATGTAACACAAACACAAATTAAAATTACTCCAAGATAACATTTTCACTCATACTGTCCTGAAGCCAAAAGTTTAACACCACACTGTGCCGGAGCAACTGGGAAGATCGGCACCGCCATGGCCTGGCTGGCGGCAGTTGCTAGTTTAATCCCTACAGATGGCGACTTGGCAACGTCTGTCAAAATACAGCGCACACAGCCAATGGAGCACTCGTTCTACTTTTGTGAGTGTGCCTATGGCAACACTTGCACAAATATAAAATAAAGGACATAAAAATCAGTCTCCACAGCGCTATTTACAACAGCAAAGAAATGGAAATGACCCCACAGTCATTAGGAGGGAACTGGTCAGATCAATGACGTACACCCACCCACACCCACCCGCCACAGGGCTGCAGGAGACTGTCCTACTCTTGTGTGCACCAGTACACAAAGTGTCAATGACAGAGCAGGTAAAAACAATGTGTGTGCCTCTAACAAGAAAACAAAAAAAAAGAATGTTTTATATATACTTAGAGAAACTCGACAAGAAACATTACAACAGGAGTTACTTGTAGGAGGACCAGAGAAATGGAGTGGGATCAGAGTTGAAAATTTTCACCCATATCTTACTTAATTCTTGAACACATGAATGTCTTACCCATTTACAGACCTTAAAAGGTAAACACAAGGAAAGAAAACGAACAAGAAAGAGCATACCTGGGCAACCCCTTCTTCCCAGCCTCGGATCACCTCCTGCTTGCCTAGCATAAACTTAAAGGGCTTGTTTCTGTCCCGGGAGGAATCAAATTTCTTTCCATCTTCAAGCATCCCTGTGAAAAAGGGCAGTTGTAACATGAGTACCGAGGAGTAACCACAAGAGGCAAGTCAGAAACCCGCAGAAGGGTGCCCGTCACAGATGCCAGCGTCACAGATGCCAGCTCTGAATGGCCTGGGAGGGTGACCAAGGCCTGGGGAGCAACTGCGGCGTCCAGAGAGGTCCTTCTGCATCCTGTGGGCGTCTTAGGACTTGGATCAGTCCCTCTACTGGGGCTTGTCAATACACTCTTCCTCCACCTCAGAGCAGCAAATTGACCACAGAAGGACCTGGCTTACCAGTCTGTAAATGGCCTGGAGAGTGGGTAAATATAGACACTTCTGGAATGAATTTCTAGCACCTTGTGGATTTCCTCCCAAGCTAAAGAATAATTGCGGGCCCTTTGGGTGCACTCAACAGCTACAAGTCACACACAGAGCAAGAAGCAGTACTTCTTCCTTAAATTCACCTATCATCCTTTACAGAAACATGGTAGAATTAGAAATGAATGGGATGAGGACACCTGTTGGTGCTGGAGAATCAGAAAATCAGAAGTGTATTGAAAAGACACCAAAACCTCTCACCAGTGAACTGCTAACGACTCTGCCTCTGTCTGAATTGTGGGCAGTGCTTCTACTAAATCAGGAGTGGGGTTAAGCACTTCCTTCCATACAGGAATTTATTTAATCCTTCCTCTGACATGGTTCCCACTTCACAGATAAGGCACTGAGGCAGAGAGAAGTGAAGTCATTTGCCAACACAGTACAGCTAGACTATAAACCAAGTTCATTCTTCTAAACCTGTTTCCAAACAAACCACAACAGCACCCTCCATTAAAAGAGGGAATACCAGAGGGTGACTGCCATGAGAGAAAGAAACAGACCCATCAGCACTGGTTTCTCCAGAAGCCAGCATCAGCCACTACAGTCATAGTGATGGAGGTCCTAAAAGCTTTTATACCAGGACCTCAGACTGGAAGGGGCCCAAGTTATTGAAACAGAATTACTACAAAACCGATGTCGTTGGAACTAAGGGGAGACACCTGCAGTGGTTCTACATAGTACTCAGAAGAGCCAGCAAAACACAGAATTTTGGTGGGAAACCCCAACATTCTAACCTAAAAAAGTGTCAACACTTAAGTGCAATGGGAAAGCAGAGATCAATGGAGAGCCTTATCACTGTCACCAGACTTGACTTTGACAAAATAGGAAATGGGGAATGGGAGAGGCAGGAACTGCTTTCCTAATAAAATGGGGGGGGGGGGGGGGGGGGGGGTTGATGATGACAGAGGCCCTAGAGCAGAGTGGGCACTTACAATGATACAGCCTGGAAGTGGGAACTAAAGTCTGAGAGAAACAGGAATATGTGATCCACCCACAGCCCCAAGTCAGGGAAGAATCGAGACTTTCACACTCCAGAACTAGCAAGTTGGGGTACATCCCTTTATCAGAACACAACCAGTACTAATAAAACAACAAATGTCAGGGCTAGAACAGCTTTTTATAAATGAGTAACTGGAAAAAGAACAGATTTCTACTCTCTACAATAAACACTGCAGACATTCCCTGTAGCCCATTTTGAGTTCTATTTCAAGGACTGCACCCAACCCAACTGAACTCAGAGTTAAGGGTGAAAGTAGGCAAAGAACAGCTAGGATCCTTAGAGGCCTTTTCCTGGCCAGGAAGGGAGATTTTTACCCACCTGCCCAAGGTAGCTTATAACAGAAATAAGGCAAGCAACTCCAAGGTTCAGTAGCCTGCCCAAGGCAGAATCAGTGAAAGTGGGGATGATCAGTTTTGTTTTGACCAATAGGGAATGTAAGCCATGAATAAAACTGAAAACCAGACATAATTTCTTCCTGGTCTGCTCTCTTTAAACCTTAGCAGAATTCCAGGGCTTCTTGCTCAGTCATGATAGACAAGAACACTTAGTGAGGAAACTGAGGTGCTAGGAAGGCTTTGCCAATGGGGAGGAACACCTTACATATGACTGTAAGAAGGTACTGCAGAAGCAATAACTGTTAAGAAGCAGGAAAGAATGTGCATCAGTATTTTCTGGAGTGGGTATAAGCTGGAAAATGTTGAATGCAGAGTGTAACAGAAGCTGTGATTGTCAAAATAGGTATTTTTGGCCAAAATGGAGCAACAGGGATTAAATCTATCCTCCTAGCAAAAACAATCAAAAACAAATAATAAAAACAGGCCCAAAAAACCCATATTAAAAAAGAGAAACACTTAGATAGCATCTAAAACAATGCGTTTAAGACACTTAACAACATAATGAAGAACAGTGACCCCTGATAAATGAGAACAAGGGGAGCCCTGTAATCACCCTGCTTCCATCCTAGGGAGTTTCCAGGGAAAGGGAACTGGAAAGGAGAACACAGCACTTTAAGTCATAGGACAAATATCATGAAGAGAAGTGCTAGAGACCCCCCCAAACATTTACAGCACCCCCTACCCCTTTGGTAGAGAACTATTTAACACACATATTATAGGAAACTACTCAAGGCAAGGAAAATAACCAGACAATACAACAGTGCTCAGATCTCACAGAGGACTGGAATTAAGTGACTGTTCCTATACACAGACTGGAGAAACTCATCATGGTTCACAAGACACTAGTTAGGATGCCCACAGAGATGTCACCTCAGCAGTGGGGAATCGGTGCCCCCCTAAGAAATCCTAAGGTAAGACCCAAGAAGATGAAACTGTTTCTAAGTAACTGAAGTGCTTCCCAGTGTAAAGCTCAAGAAAATGTATTAGAAAATAAGCATCCAGCACCCTCAAAAGGGAAAGTCACAATGTACAGCATCCAAAGATTACCAGGCATGCAAAGAGGTAAGAAAACAACTCACTGATGAGAAGACTAACCATTGATCAACTGAAACCAACCCAAAACTGACAACAGTTGCCAGAATTGGTAAAGAACAGTAAAATTCCAATTAACTTCTAGAGATGAAAACTGTACTTCCTACAATGAAAATATATTGGGCTGGGGAAAAAAATCAACAAACACAGGCAAAAAGTAAAAATTTGAATCTAACCATACTTTACATCATACTCAGATTAACTCAAAATGAACAACAGATCTAAACAGAATCTAAACTTAACAAAATTCTAGAAGCAAACATGGGAAATAATTTTTGTGACAGTTAGACAAAGATTTCTTACATAAGACATCAAAAAGCACAATTCATATGATAACTTAAAATGCAAATAAAACATTTTAAATAATTTATTTTGGGTAATATCTAAAAGACATATAACTCAACAGTCCAAAACAAAACAAAACATTCCTGGCCAGGGAGGTGACCCACATGGTGTAAACCTCTTCTGTATCACCTGCTGCTCCCCTCAGCAGTGTATTTCAGTAGAGCCACCTGTTCTGCTCCTCAATATGTCTCTGGTTAATCCTCTCAGCCCTGGCACCTCTGGCCTGTACCCCAGTTCTTAATAAATAAATCTTTAAAAAGAAAAAAAAAAAGGATCTAAACAATTTTTCTCAAGACACAAAGATGATCAATGGCATATGAAATGTTTCTCCACATCACTAATCATTAGGGAAATGCCAATCAAAACCGCCATAATAGATCATTTTATACCCAATAGGGTAGCTATTATCACAAAAGATAAATACAAATGAATAAAAGACACTTTACAGAGAATGAAAGAGAAAGCCATACTGGGAGAAGACTGTTGCAAGTATGTATCTGATAAAAGGGCATATTCTATATATATAGTGGGCTCTCAAAACTCAGGAAAACAACCCAACTTAAAAACACAAAAGATGTAACATATATATGTGTTTATATAAACACACACACAGAGCAAATAACCACACAAAAAATGCTCAACATTACTCATCATTATAAAAAGCAAATAGGAAATGGTAGTACCAATTAGAAAAAGACTGATGCTATGAGGTGCTGGATGAGGACATAAAGGAACTATTGATAGAATTTTTATGTACTGCTGGTAGGACAACAAAATGGAACAATCACTTTCCAAAATAGTTTAGCATATTAATTTAAAACATGTACTTCCCTCCGCCGTGACCCAGGCATCCTATCCTGGATTTAGCCAAGAGAAACGACAGCCTATATATATTCATACAGATACTTATATACGTTCATAGCAGACTTAACCACAACAGTCCCAAACTGGAGTCAGCCAAATGTCTGCCAACTGGTGAACGCACTAACAAGTGTAGCCATACATTATAAAACTATTCTAACAATAAAAAGAATAAACTACTGATATATGTAACATAAACAACTCTCAAAACAGCTATGCTAAGTGAAAGAAGTCATATACGAGTACATGCTGCTGTCTGATACCATTTAAATAAAACTTCTGACAGTACAACAAATGTATGCTGGGAGAAAAGCATACTGGTTGTACAGTTATTTAAATGGAAAGGTAGGAGCGGTCTCAAAGGGGAACTTTGAGAAATATATCAAAATTTATGAAGCTGTGCACTTTAAATGTGTAGTTTGTTGAAAATCAATTATGTCTCAATCAAACTGTTTTTTAGGGAACAAAAAAAGAAAAAAAGTGAGATTTACTAAAAGTCTACATATGGTTACCTCCTACACCCGGCCTGGCAAACCTCTCTTGTTGGGAAAGGAGCAAGTGAAGCAGGCACCAAGTCAAGTCACAACAGTTGCTCCCACTGTGATTCTGGACAACTCCAGAGACCTTGAACCATGAAGCCACCTGCCAAGTAAGTGCACAATTTCCTAGAGAAGGTACACTCTCCTGAGAGAAGGCAACTGAGGTCAGTCCAGGCTCTTTAAACTTCAAAGGCCCCGCTTCTAGCAAAAACCATTATCAGCATAACTTTCTATTTACAGAAATGACCATTTCATTTCTGACTATACATAAACCTGTAATTCATGACCCAGACACTGTCTAGGGTAGCACAGTACCCTCAACTTCAAGAATTAACTGTCTCCCCTGAATGAATGCGGCTCAAGGTCACAGACTGAACCTGGAGCTCCATCCCTGTGGCACT